TATATATATATATATATATATATATATATATAATAATGTTATATGTGATTTAAATAAATGAAACATTTGTATTTAACGTAGTGATAATAGCGACTTAATGCCAAAATGATATTTTTGTAGAAAAAAAAAAAGAAAAAGTGAAAAAAGTTTTCTTATAACCGTATTGACCAAAGAAAGTGTATCAACGTCGATTGTTGTGCTTCTCAATCGGTTTTTACATTTGTTAAAAAAAAATTTTTTTTTTTAACAATGACTTTTACTAATTTCTTTCTGTTTTCTGTACGTTTTTCGGTCGTCGGCTAAAATGATCCTTGTCAGTCGGTCACTGACATTTTGTAATCGCAAATTTTGTGCACAAACTCCTGACTGTCGTTCTATGTGCGTTTCCTAACCTTCATCGCAGCCGGTTCTCTGCTAGCATATCTACATGAGGCTCAGAGTGCCGAGCTATTTGATAATACTAATTTTTCTGCATACGTATTTATGGTTACGTATAGATAGAAACTTGATAGATAATTGACAGTTTTTGAGCTGTTTTAGCAATGAAAATTGTTAAATTTTATTTATTTATTTTATTTTTTTTGCTCTTTGTAACATATTTGTCACTTTTAATTATGCTTTGGTCTTTTACTTTACGAAAAGTCTCAGTCATTGTCCTAAACACTGCCAAGTTGTCAGCAAAAGACTTTACTTTTAATTCATTCTAACTACTGGTTTTTTTTTGTTCTATTTCGTGTATTTATGCGTTTTTTTTCTTTTTAAATTGTACTTTTTCTACGAAAAAAATAATTGCAAGAATTTCATCTGAAAAACAATTCTCTGTCACGATATATTATTTTGCATCAAAAAGATAAGATAAACGCTTCAGTGAGAGAAATAGCAACAAGCTTCTATTACTCCTGATGAATTATTTTTGGTAAAAGTTAAGGTTGGTGGATAGTTTTTCTTATTCTTCATATTATGCGTCATCTGTATGTGTTCATTTAAACAATATCTGTTCTTTATTACAACTGCTCGTTTTTTAGTGTGAAAGTTTGTACAGCTGTAAAAACTGATAGGTGTTCTAAAGTGTTCTGTGTGAGCAGTATTTAGTTTAAAATACAAATCTCTTTCAGGTACTAGGTGGTTGTTTTGGAGTATGGGTACATCGGCATCGCCAATAGCAGTTTCTTCTGTATCCTTTATACCTACAGACAGTTATAGCAGCAGAAATAACAACACTGCGACGCAGGAAGAGTTTGAGATTGTTTTGGATTCTGTTCTGAAAAAATTTATATCAGTCAATCCAAGCAGCACACAGTTTACTCTAATTAAGCAAAAACTGTTAGATGTTATTATTAAAGGTAAATCAATATTTTTTATTTTAGAATAAGTCATTCAAACTCATTAATTTTTTTTGTGTTATCTTATTAAAAACATACCTGCAAATAACTTATTTCTTTAAAGTAATACGCTTTTATAATGTTAAATGAGTCAGTAAGTGGTACTTTAGTGTTTTATTGGTTTTTTTATAGCTGTTTTACATAACCGTATTTTATTCCAGGTTTTTTGGTAACATTTTTATCTGCAAGGGCCTTATAAAAGTCAGGTGCTTTTTGAAACAATTGCTTTTCAAAATTTTTTTGAGATTTTTTAAAAGTTTTATTTGCAACTTTTAAACAATTCAGCACTTGCTACCAGCGCTTTGCTGAATGATGGTTACTGTAAGAAATATAGTATTTCCTTGAGAATAGAATTGGGAGAGTTATACTCCAATTGAAGCTTGCAACCAGCGCGCAGTAGGTGAGCACTTTATTGAACTGAACATGAAGAAACAAAACCAAGAAGGCTACAACAACGACCGGCGCTATGATACAGATCTACAAGATCTGGCGTCGATCAATGTAGACAAGAACATTACATTGTAAAAATGCATGCTAGCTTAACATTATCAAGAAGAGTTATGTACAAGCGTTGCTTGTAAACCATTTTTAACATACAGATAAAAAAATCAGATGATTTTGTACCGTATTTTTTTTTATCTCGCTGCCGCGATACCCCGACGACCAAAATTACTTCGAGCTTGGCTCCGATGGAACCGAAACTGGGACATATTGCAACCGAAGAGTGCTTTGACCGTCCTTTTGTTTATCGGGTTTCGTGGAGGTGACAACAACTTTGTTTCTTCTTTTCTTTCTGCGTGACGGTAGTTTCGCTTTGCAGCATCTACACCATATGCTCAGGGCTACGAGGCCAACCAGAGCGGATACAATAGAACTCCATATCCACCGCCAAGATATCGACAGTGAATAGAGAGCGTCATTTATGAGTCCCGTGGTTTCTTCTGTTTTGCCATCGATTTCTTAAAGGAACTCTTCTGTGCTGGTTGCCCATTGTTTGAGAGGGTCTGAAGCCTGTCTTGTGATTTCGTCCAGCCCTTTCCTCTGCATACGGTCGATGGCTAGTTTTATCCATTCGTGTTCTAAGTCGGGAAGATTGTTTCCTGTGAACAATGCGTGTTCAGCTGTGAACTTGTTTGCTCCAATTTCTGGGGTGCTTAAGTGCTTTTTATGAGGCGGTTTCCAGGGGTAACTGACTTCTGGCAATTGTAGGTTGATGTCATGTGTACTGGGAACCACAAATACAACTTGTCCCTTCACTTGCACTGGAAGTTGCTTGTAGCACTTCCCATCGACCTGATGGTTTATATAGAACTTTTCCGGTTTTACTGGGTGACAAGCTGTTACCAAGAACTGGTCCTCTACATGGCGTGCTGCGATGTCGTCCCTTTTGAGCAGAATCCTCATGGCCGCAGTAGCATCCTTGACGCTAATCTGGCGAATTATTCGATTCAACATATTCCATATTTCGCAGTTTCTTTTTGCTTCGTTTCTAATAGGTATGTCCGCCAGGAATTGAAATCTTGCATCTTCTGAATCTTTGCTTTCCGTTATTTTTTCAGCAAGAAACGTTCAAGCTTGATCTCTGGTCGTTTCTTGCCCGGGAATGAGTTGCTTTCCAAAGGCTATGACGACGTCATTTTGCATAAGTATGACCTTTGATAAGTTACAGCCTGGAGCTATTTTCGATGGCTGCAGGGCTTTGACGATATGGGCCGCTTGCAAATGATCAACTATGACTTCCTTTTCGCTTACGTGAGCGGCGTATGTTCCCAGAGGTGCATACTGGCATTGCTTTTCGTATGCACTCCAGTCCCATATTACTCTCTCATGGCGTGTCAGACATTTTTGGGCCTTAGGATTGCATCCTGCCTTGCGAGTGAAGTCCGTGGTGGGGTGTGAGCCGTCTACAAATGCGATGTCGCCATATTCCATTAAATAATTGA